TGTGTGTGTTCTGGGGGCTTGAACTTATCCTCAACCTTGTACAACAAGTACTTTTCCCCATGGAGTCATTTCCCCACCCCTGGGAGGTGCTTCTTACCCGTGATATAGAGGGTGCTGCTCTGGTTAGAAGCCATGCAGGTCACACGCAGGTGAGGCAGGCATCGAGACACCTTCCTGAGGGCCAGCTGCACTGTGTAGGAGCGTGGTTGGTCCAGCTGGGTCTCATTCACAACCAAGGAGTAGATCTTTCCTTCCTCTGGGGATATGAAGGGAGGCATATGATTACATGGAGGAAGGGATTCATCAGTAGCCAGACCGGCATACCATGGTACACTCAACAGAAACGCTGCCATCCCTAGAGTAGAGTGGCAAGGGAAAGGATGGAGGGCCAATGAGACGATCACATGGGTAAAAGCACTTGTGACAAGTGAGTTCAACTGCTGAGACCCATGGTGGGAACAGGACATGAGTCCTGAATGTTGTCCTCTGATCTCCGCATGTGCATGACATATGCATGCCTACACACACACACACACACACACACACACACACACACACACACAGTGGCAGGAAGGGATACAGTATGGTGACACATGCTTTTAATTTCAGTACTTGGAAGGCAAAGACAGGCAGACCTCTGTGAGCTCAAGGACAATATGATCTACATAGTAAGTTCTAGACCAGCCAGGACTGAACTACTTAATGAGACTCTGTCTCAACAACAGAAATGAAATAAGAAGAAAGAACAAATAGAAAAGGGAAGGGAAAAAAGAGACAGGATGGCTTCCAGCCCCCAGACTTCAACCCTGAAAATGAAGCAGGAGGCATGTCAGCATGGGAGAAGATGCGGAGCAGACCCAGTGATTAGCTGTTGCAGACTTTAAAGGACGAAGCCTGGGTATTTAGGTTCCCGCCTGGCATCCGGAAGCCCACAGGATCTCAGTCTCTGGGAAAATGGGCAATTTGGGGTCTAAAGTGAAGTGCCTCGCATGAAGGTTAGGAGGAGATTGGACTGTTAAAATCGGATATTAATTAGAACAGTGTTTTCCAAACTATGTAACAAAGCAGTGTAATAGCACGGACACACAAGCCACAGTGCATGCGCGGAAGTCAGGGGACAGCCTCTGATGTTGGGCCTTACCTTTTACCCTGTCTGCATACAGTCTCATCCCTGCTGCTATGTATGCAGACTAGCTAACCGGAGGGCTCGGGGATTCTCCTGTCTCCATCTTGCCTCTCTCCATAATAAGATTACAGACTTGCACTACCACCAGTGCTGACCTTTACGCTGGTTCTGGGAATCCACGCTCATCTAATGCTTGTATCCTGAGTCTTTTACCCACTGTTCCATCTACTCCACTCTCCTGTTTTATTTCTGAAACAAGGTCTATGTAGACTGTCTTCAAAATCTCTATGTAGCTTAAGAACAAGCCTGAACACCACACTCCCCTACCTCCACTTCCCCAGTGCTGGGAGTACAGTCATGTATCAGCATGTCCACATTATATGGTGCTTCATGTAGATTGATCTATAGCCCCAGCCTGAGAATTTATCTGAATTCTATGCGAATTCTAGAACTTTTGGGGTGGAGAGCCGGAGCAGGCAGCAGGTAGAATGCTCTCTGGCAGACCCCTTTCTTTCTCTCCCCTCTTGAGCAGCTCCTGAAGAATTTGCTAGACATTTGCAAACCACTGTGTCACACCTGTGAGGAGTAGCAGGGCCCGCTGGGTCTCCTGGCCAACCAGAACGATCTGCTTGAAACTCATGGAGTGGTGGAATGTCATCTTGAAGACCCGCTGTCCGCTGGACTGCAGATAGACCTCCACACAGTCGCAGGCCCGGCTACCAGTGGTGCCCACCACTGCTGGCTGTTCCCGAGTAGCCAAAACATAGAGGTACTTCCGGTAAACTGTGTCACATCTTGGGTCGGATGCAAACTGTGGAACAAGATGATGCTGTCTGGGGATCTAAGGCTCTGGGTGGGAAGAGGCTAGAGCAAGTGGATCATGGGATGAGATATGAAATGCTTGGGTCCAAGGTTAAGAAATGGGAGATTACTTAAGAGTAGTGATCTGACTCAGTGGAAGAATGTTTGCCTACTGTGTATGACATGTTGAGTTCAATTCCCAGTACAACAAACAAAAAACAAACAAACAAAAAAACCCCAAGAAAATGATAGATAAATGGTTTGCTTTCAGGTTTCCTCTGAGAGGGAAAGACTCAGGACTGGTGAGTTTCCTTAGAAGAGGGGAATTCTGAGGCCAGAACTCCTCTACTCACATCCTTGGCGCCTCGACACAACACCACGTAGCGGCAGGCACGCTTCCACTGGATCTGGCCAAGGGTGGACGAGACCAGAGCGTTTTTGAGGAAGAAGAGGGTCCCCACATAGTCAAGAATGAACACGTGGTCCTTCGTGGGTAAGAAGCGGCGGTAGCCATGGGCTAGCATGGGGGCCACACTCTTGCTGAGACATCGGCGGCGTCCTCCGAAGGCCTGGAAATACAGGCCCTTTGTATCTGGAGAACAGGAGAGGATGGTTTCAGGGTTGAGGGGATAGGAGTGTTGAGAGTCAAAGCTTGGGCAAGCTAGATTTTGTTTTCCAGATGCCCTGGTATTGAGATTTTACTTTTCCATCCCTAGACTTAGGGACCAGACCCCTTCCTGGGGTCACACAGAAAACTTGGGTTTATACCCTTCATCTGCCCCCACTTCATCCCAGGGCTACACCTGTCCTTCACAGTAAGCATGTCTTTAGTTCAACCTTGTAAGGGAGATATCAAGGAAGCATAAGAATAACCAGAAAAGAAGTAAAAAGAAGAGAGATAGGGAAAGCCAAGACAATCCGGCCATCTTCGCTCATCTCTGGCTTTCCGGTCAGCTTTCTCTAAACTCTGTGTGTCTGCTGGGAGGGTGGGGATAGGGAAGAAGTGATTAGGTACGGTCTTTCTGAAGTGGAGTATTTGGGTCATTGTTCTCAAGCTGTGGTGATGTTGTCCCTCAGAGACACTGGGAGTTGGTACTGCTACTGATCATGTAATAAATAGGACAGCCACCACCACAACAAAGTATTTCGTCTCTGGCTGGGGAGATGGCTTGGTGGTTAGGTTCTTGCCTTGCAAGGATGAGGCCCAGACTTGAGAGAGGGGAAGCCTGGATGGGTTTCTTGGCCTGTCTGCAATTCTAGCCTTGGAAGATACAGATCCTCAGTGCAAGCTCGTCAGTGAGACTAGTGCTGGGTCTGACTGGGAGTTTCTGCTTCACTGAATAGAGAGTGGAAGGTGACTGAAGATGATTCCTGATACCAACCTTGGCAACTACACACACTTCCCAGTGTGCAAGTGTCTGAACACATGCAAACATGAATACACCACACACACGCAAACATGAAAAAAAAAAAAGGTTATTCCTTCATTTCAACTGTAATAGTGCCAAAAAGTCCGGGGAGATGGCTGAGTGCGTAGTTATATGTTATGCATGCATGTGTGTAGTTATATGTTATGCATGCATGAAGACCTGGGTCCCGAGCCCCAGCACCCACAGAAGCTGCTGTGGAGCCTGTATAACCCAGCATGCACTGCTGGAATGGTGGGGAGCAGAGACAGAAGGCTCCCTCGGGCTTGCTGGCTATCTGTCTAGCCAAAACAGCAAGCTCCTGGTTCAGTGGAACAGAAGGTAGCAGGCTGGAGAGATGGCACAGAGGTTAAGAACACTGGCCACTCTTCCAGAGGACCTGGTTTGGTTCCCAGCTCCCTAGTGGCAATTCAGAACCATCTGTAATTCCAGGTCCAGATGATCTGATGCCCTCTTCTGGCCTGCTTGGCACTGCATGCATGTGGTCCACAGATATATATGCAGGCCAAACACCCGTAGACATAAAATAAAGGTAAATACTTACAAATATATAAGGTAGAGAGGGACAGAGAGAGGAAGACAACCAGAGTCAACTTCTGGCCTCCACATGTGACCGAACTAGCTGATGTACCAGTGTACACACGCGCGCGCACACACACAGACACAGAGAGAGAGTTAACTCTGATTTAAAAGAAGAAACTCCATGTCTGGGAAATAGGGCTGTCTCTAGGGTTAGACCTGGAAGAGTTGCTGCATGCAGGGAGACATGGCTAAAATAGTGATTGAACTGTGAATGGGCTGTCTGTCAGAGGGGCCTGAGAACTTTGGAGGAAGTACCTCGTGGGGTATGTTCAAGATTAACAAGGTTGCCAGGGGGTGCAAAGATCATCAGACAACTTGATAGAGAAGCAAGTTCCTAAAATAAGGAAGGGCTGAGGCAGGGAGAGGAAGGAGTTACTAAGGGGAAGTGTACAGTTAAGAATGGCAGCTCTCTTCCAGGGCCGGGCCCCAGAACCCTGGTCACGGATGCGTGGGCTGAGCCTTCGACAGATGTGCCTCCACACGCCCTCGGCGTCACACACTTCATGGAAGTAGTGGCAGGTCTGGCCTAGGGCGACCACGTCTTTGACAGGGAGGAAGGAGACGATGTGTTCCACCTGTGGAGGAGCAGGAGGGAGGAGGGGGAGTCACAGGAGGCCCCTCAGCCCTGCAGTCACCATCCTTCCCTAAACCCTAAAGGCTCACCAGCTCTGGGGGGAACAACTGAACAGAAATAGGGTTCCCTCTTTCCTTCTTTTCACCCCCAGCCTCCAGGCCACAAGAAGGGCAGCTGCGCTTCACCTGCCAGAGGAGAAAGGGGACAAAGGGGTTCTGTGGGGGGGTCACACCTATTTCTTTTTTCTCTGCTGTTCAAACTAGGTTGGTTTTTTTTTTTAAAAAAACTCTTGCCTTAGGGTTCATCGAATTCCAACTCTATGCTAGCAAATCCAGCCCTCCCGTCTCTCTCCAGGACCTCAGGCCTTCATCCCTCCCTTGTCTGCCTTATTCCTGAGCCTGTCCCTGGATTTCTTGCTGCTCATCAACTCCCTGGCCTTCCCTTGCCACCCCCTCACCCTGAGCCCCTCCTCCTGTCTGCACAGCCTGGTCAATTTTTTCAGCTTCTGTCTCCGGCTTCTCCTCACCATCCTGACTGGCCCCTCCCTGCTCCTGCCCTCATCTTTCCAGGCCCCTTGGCTGCCCAGGCCCCAGGACCCCGTCCCCGCTGCCTTTCCCACACCATGTCCCCAGTCTAGGCTTGGGGGGCCTCTAGGGCCCCTCTATCATCTAGGCCCCACCCCCATGGAGTCTGGGGCACATAAACCTTTTTGTGACCTCACTGTCCAGCAACTGTGACCTATCCTCCTTAGCCTGACCCCAGAGGTAGCTTCTGGGTTCTAGCTCGATATGGCTGCCAGAGAGGGCTCATGGGATACATGTTTTACTGGAGATATAAAGAGTGAACTATTGATAGATGGTAAGTCCTTCCTCTTCTAGGAAGTAGTAGTAGACTTTCTCAGTTTTCAGTTGAACTCTGAAGAGAAAAACTGGGGACTCCTGAGTAGTCCCTGGCCTCCAGGGATTTGTATCTCCAGAGTACAAAGCCCAAAAAAGTATAGGGCTGGATATCAGCTCAGTTGGTAGGTGCTTGTCTATCATGCATGAGGCCCTGGGTTTGATTCCTTAGCACCAGGTAAAGCCCAATATAGCCGTGCACACTTGCAATTCCAGCATGGGAGAGTTGAGACAGGAGGATCAGGAAAGGAATCCAAGGGCATTGTTGGCTGCATAATGTGTCTGAGGCCACTCTGCATCACTGCATTGCATGACATTATCGAAATAAAATAAAATAAAATAAAATAAAATAAAATAAAATAAAATAAAATAAAATAAAACTTT